TTTCATAGGTTTTTCTGTGAATTTCAATCCTAGGGCAGGTCCCTTAAAAATCCCGTCTTGTTTTATTCTTTATAAGTGGTGTTCATGAGATGTGGATGCTTAAAATTTCCAACACACTTTGGGATAACTTGAAATAATATTTCACCAAAATCAAGAGCCTAAAACTTAGCACTTTTTAGCTTTATACACAACCATTCTCCTCGGTAAATCAAAGTTTAAACTTTTGCTATCATTTACAGCTGACTTTTTAATAAATACGGAACTCGTCAATTTTCTGACCTAGTCATTAGTCATTTGCAAAATTATTTTGAAAAAAAAACCACACTGATTGTGCACACAAGTATTCTGAATGAGACAAAAGATGGTGTAGCATCTGCATAACAATATCTGTGTGGTGTTTGGAGACCTGGACTACCAACAATAGATTGGAATTTCCAATTTTGCGCCCCGTTATAAGAAGAATTTTTTTGTATTCATATGAAGCAGAATTTGAGCAAAATCTTACGTAAAGATCTTACTGAAAAGAAGTAAACACTTAATTGCTGTGCCCTTCAGTTTGACATTTAGATATATCGACGAGGTAATGTTAATATACAATGGTCATTTAAAAAAAGATACAACAGAGTCTGACACATCTGTTTCATATTTGGATATTTTAATGAAAATGACATTAGTGGTAACCTAACAGCCAAGCTCTATAAAAACGTGATGACTTTAATTTTATTTATCGTCAACTTCTCTTACTTGTGCAGGAATATACCTGCATACGGAGTGTATATACCAGTATCTAAGTTGAATTTGTACACAAGAGCATGCTCTACGCATGAATAATATCTAAATCGAGGTCATTGACAAACAACTTGATGAAACAAGAATATAAGCATTTTCTTTTAAGATCTATGATCAATGAAATGACCTTGTTAGCAAATACAATTTATCATTGAGTCAAATGCTGACTGACAAAACTACATACTTACTCTAAGTCCATTATTTACACTGAATTGACGACGGATTTTCCCTTATTTCCAAATCATGACAAGGAGCAAACGGTGGGTGTGACTGGTCAGAAGGGGATGCTCATTCCTCCATTGCACCTGATCCCACTACTGATGCTTTAAAAGTCCGTGTTTGCTCTGCTCCTATTTTGTATTGTTTCATAGACTTTTGATTTTGAATACTGCAGGTTATCTTCACATGTTTTATTATACCCACCGAACATGTATCTCTGCTGGTAGACGGTCTGTCCCCGAAGATAATGTGTATTTGTCGTTTGGAACCTATTCATTCATGAGTATACAGAATAAAGAAATGATACTGACAGGCGCCTCGCCCAGTATAAAAAAGGTGCCACAGCTTTTGGTCTATAAGAGATAAAGACTCAAGTAGTTCATTCGGTGTCCCTCGGATAATCTTCAGAGATATTAAACATACCCTGATATGTCATACGTACAGTCTACAGATTCCTAATTTTCGTATAAAACCAATGGCTCATACAACAAGCTCATTCAGAGAATTTGTGTCCCCCGCTTTGGGAAAAAGTAAACCATGCGCAGTTCGGGGGAAGGGGGGGGGGGTCGGATCCCCCTCACTGAATTTGTAGAATTATTAAATGTATACATGTATACTGAAGCAAATAAAATGTACCAATATGGATATAAAGTTTTAATTGCTTATTCTTTATTATGTGTATAATTTTTTTTTATGGAATATTTATCACACTGCAATAATGATTTTATGAATTTGTACAAGTCAGACTTCGTAAATTTTTCATTTCGCGTGATGAATACTATCATTTAGTAAAAAAATAAGTATTTCTAAAAAAAGTGGTCCATCCAGGACTTGAATTTGGGACCTCTCACGTGGGAAGCGATAAACATACCACTAGACCACGGAGGTCGCTTTACCTAGAACAAAGTATATGCAGACGTGAAGTCACATACATGTATATATTCATGTTCGGTATTGTCAAAATTTTACACAATCCATGGTTTTTAATTTATTTAGCCTTTATTAAACAGTTCTAATTAATAGATGTAATAAGAACATAAATTCCACCGAGAACCTGTTTTATTTGCAATAACTCTCCTCATGCCCCTGTGCTAAAAATAGCGACATGTAATGTTATAAATACTAATAAAACAAACGGGGCGGGACACTTTGAGAGGGGTTAGAGAGGTCCTAGGGAGTTTTGGTATAAAATTACATTGCATAAGCTCAAAATCTTTTTGAAATATCGTCCGGAAATGATATTGTTGCACACAGAGAAAATGTATAAATTTACGACCTTGAACTTTGACCTTTTGACCTCAAAATCAATAGGGGTCTTCCTTAGGCCACAGGGAGTGTTATGTAAAATTTTATTGCAATAGCTCAAAGGGTTCTGGAGATATCGTTTGGAAACGAAATTGTTATAACCGACAGAATTTGCTTATTTATGACCCTGACCTTTGACCTTTTGACCTCAAAATCAATAAGTTCTTCGTTAGTCCATAGGGAGTTGCTATGCTAAATTTCATTGCTAAACATTAAAGGGTTCTCGAGATATCGTGTGGAAACAAAAGCGTTAAAGACAGACAGAAAGACGGACGGACAGCTAGACGGACGGGCGGACAAACCCCACTTTTCAGACAGGGGACAAAAAATTGAAAGAATGTACATGTAAGGTTTCTATTACAATTAAAGTTGAAGATTCCTTTTTTGATCCCATGTCTTCTGTTTAAAAATGTTCTCTGAAAAACTGTAAAACCCGTGACATTTTGATAACAAACGTTTCTTACTGATCTTTAAAAAAAAGTAGTCGGATAATAGCTCTTTAGAGCTAATGTTATTTGTTAATATACCCGACTTTAAATAAATATTATCTTATTTTATCTTATCTTACAGAGTTCTTTACCAACACTTGGAAAATCTAAACTGTAAATCTTTTTATGTTGTCTATGAAATTGAATGTAATCTGTATGGACATCTTCATGGCAAAACAAAGGGATCACAACAAAAGAATACAGATCATCGATTTAAAACAAAATCATGAGATCAGCAGCTTCTATACAAACGTTTTGATTTTCCTGATCATTCTATTTTGTCAATGAAAGTTAGAATTCTCGAAGAGATTGAACACCATTCATCACCATACAAAGAGTCCATCATTTCAAACACCTTTCTGTAGACTACGAGAAGAATTTCTGATCAGAAAACTAGGGATAGCCTTTCCCAAAGGTCATTGAATGTAATGAAAATGTTGACAGTGTTGGAAATCTTTTATTACATTAATTTCGTAGATAATTCTTACATTAAAACACCAAGCTTTACATTTATACATTTTTTTTCAAGACTGAGATAATTCGTACACTCATTGACAACATTAGTTAACTAAGAATACATGTGAAGATATACTCGGTATAAAAGAAATCAAATCCACATATCTTTAACACATCTTAAATATTAGTTTTTTGGTATTCTCAATTTGGAAGAAATTATAGACTTCAATTTATTTTCTTGATTGAAAATAGAAAAGAATGTTCCTTTTGAAAAAAAAGAGTTTTTGTAAACTTTTATTGGCAAACATGTACTTCATTCTCAAGATTAAAAAAAATTGCTGAACTACTGACACTGACAAAAGAAAAAAAATCAAGATTGTTAATATAAAAATGCATGTTGTACAAGAATTATGACCTAGCTACACGGGGCAAGACACTATATACTTTAAAATAGTAATACATATGTATTTTTAAAAAAAAAATAACCACACATGCACACACACTACGAATTAAGCCGAATTCATCATAATTAGAGGATTATACATTCCAGGAAAAAAGATACCGACATGATAACATTTCATTAAATTATGAGATAAATGTTTTGCTACACCTGAAATAATTGATAAAAGGCAATTATACGGAAACCGAAAACTAGTACAGAAAAATACAAATACAGAACTCTTTAAAACGAATCGGCTTAATCTAAAAGTAAGATCTGATATATTGTCCATTTTCTAGAGATAGAACGAGGAGAATATTAAAAAAATATTCCTAGATTTAAAAAATTTTATCCATCGTCACAGGTTATAAAAAAATAAAATGTTGTTACCAAAAGAAAGGACTTGTCTCAATTAATATCATTATGAAATATGAAAGCCCAAGCACTAATCTTTCAAAAATTATGGCTACGGTAAAAGTTTAAAATGTCACCGGGTAAAGGGGCACATGCGGGGTTGCGGTTAAGTAACATATGAGGTTTAAACTTCGAAGCGGTGAATTTTTGCATTTGGAAAATATATTTGTAAAATTTCTTTGCTAATGAATTCTTTGGAGCCAAAGACATGCGCACGGTTGTAAGAATGTGTTACCTACCAATTTAGTGCAATAGGCTGGTTGAAAGCCTCACAGATTATTCTAACATGTCTGGACAGTTCAGTCGACTGGAAAAAGTTGTGGTGTCGCTGATATTCTTTGCTCTTATATTTTCAAACACTGACGTTTAAGCTCATTTTAAGAATGATAGATAAAGATTGATACAAAAACAATCCATGTAAATTTTTTATCCTGAAACAATCTTGATTTCTGAAACAAATATAATCTTTTGTGACCAAATTCTACTCTACCTATCGGGGTTTCAATGTTTGTTAACACAGGGGTTTCACCTCAAAGGCTTTTTCTATGTTTAAATCTTTGTTTTCTTTCAATAATATGGATTTCGTCCTTTTACCAGGAAAAAAAGTGGATAGATATGTATTAGGCAAAAGACACCAACTAAAATGATGACCAATGTCTAGTCACAAGGAAAGTATACATCTGTGAATTTGAAAACCCTAGTACTAACTGTTCAGTAGTTATGTCCATGGTTTAAGTTTTTAAAAAGTGGGACAAATGCAAAGGTCAAGAGGTCAAAAATCTTTTAATCCATGGAAAAGTTTTTCGCCATAATTAAAAACATGTGATACAAATACAACTTTGTAGCAGGCATTATGTATTATTATTTCACAAACTCATGGGGGTGGGGGGTGTTTAATATTTTTGTTAATTAGGAATTGCTATTTTAACACTGTTTTTAAAATTATTTATAAGTTACTTACTAATGTTTCTTTATATTCAAAATCCTAGTAAGGTTTTAGACAAATTACCATTTATTTTGAATAAGTAGGATGGATGGAATCAATGGTATGCGTTCGAAGTTCTACGCTATGTCGAAAAATTCAAAAAAGAAAATTGAAGGTGTGCAAAAATAATTATAATGTCATTGTTAATAAAAGTCAATTCTTTCGATGTTAGGGATTCTATCTATCAGATTGTCCACTGATGCTCTCAACGGAGCACAAAGCACAAGGCGTTCATCGTGGAAAACTTCTTGTGGGGCTTCAGAGCAAACCATACCGATGACCTCTAACTTATTGTCATTTGAGGAAGAAGGTAGAAATACAAGCGAACCCGAATCTCCACGTTTTGCAAACGCAGTATTTTTAAAAAAAGGTTTAACAATAATTGCTGAACCTGCAACTGAGTAATGCATATATGTTATGTTGCAAACTTCAGATACTACTCCTGTTGTTAACAGAGTTCTTGCACCCCTCTTACGAACAACAGTATTTAAAAATTTATCCAGATCTATTAAATCTCTACAGTTAGAGATATAAGCTGAAGTTGGTTGGCCTCTTCCATTGAGTAAACGCTTTTCACAATCAGACTCAATTATTTGTTCATCAACGTCAATAAGGGCGATGTCATCATGAATACTCCTGATGTCTTGAACATGAAACATGACACTGCCGAGTTTTACGTCAACTAAATTTATGTTCACGGTTACACCCGGGTTTTGAATTCCAAGGAAAGGATGTAGGCAGGTTATTGCAGCCATTATGGAACCCTTTCTTTTAACAAGACTACCAATTGTTGCATAAGTACTACTATTAGTAGGTGCGAGACTAGGCACAAATTTTGCTCCATGTAAAGGAAAATTAAATGGAGCCGTTGTTATTTTTTCTTGCACACTTATTTTGACCTCAAAATTTCCAACATTTGACAAACGATTTTCCAACTCAGCCATCACACTTTGGTCAGTAATGGTTATTCGAACTCCCTTTGTATTAAATCCAAGGTACAAAATTTTGTCTTGATATCTGAAATGAGTGGTAGCATTTTCTGTTATTGGCAAAAACATAAATTAAATCTATAAGTGTAGGCAAAATACAGAAATGTCATTTGCTAACAATAAGAAAACTATTAGCTGAAGGCAGAAGTGGATATTTATCTAAATGATGCTTAGTGATATCTGCAGAACAGAAAAAATTCTCATTGTTTTATTGTAATATTGTAAATGAGGCAATGACAAAAATTGTTTTTCATTAAAATGAAACGCTACTGCGTCAATGAAGAAAACTAATTCGTTTAAAGTATTTCTCAATATTACTCATTTATATATATATATATATATATATATATATATATATATATATATATATATATATATATATATATATATATATATATATATATATATATATATATATATATATATATATATATATATATATATATATATATATATATATATATATATATATATATATATATATATATATATATATATATATATATATAAATAAATAATAATATTGAAATTTAAGACGATCATTCAAAGTCTTAAAATCCTTGCGAGATAAACAACTACAATTTTGTATGAGTTACTCATTGGAATACACATATCATTTTATGTAAATCTATGCAAGTTTCCCCCAGGCGGGTAATATCTAGAAAAAAATTCATTGTAAACAATATTTTCATAGCAACTTTAAAATAACTTAATTTCCATCGGTTTGCAAATGTTTTGGTTTCGTGTAAAGCATATTAACAATTTATGTCCTAGAAAAAAAAATTGAAGACTCTGGAATCTTTTTGAGCCAACAAGACAAATTATCGTTTATGAAGAGTTTGAGTCGTAAAAATAATCGTGTACTAGTGGCTCTGTCGTACATGTACCTCTTTCTTAACTCACTCTCCGAATATCAGTTGGAAAAGTCCCGTTTCAAAGAGTGCTCTGTAAAAGTTTTAATGTTTATATAAAAGCGTGGGGAGACACTTTGTCCTTTTTTAGGGGTGGATGGGTTGGTTAGATATAGTATAGAATGTTGTATCTAAGAAGAAGCATAACTTCAACATTTCAAATATCGGTATTTTAATGGATGAACGATATTTTACTTGAAAAAGACATTATGGTACGTATGTAATCTAACAACCAAGCTCTCTTATAAAGGTGATGACTTTAACTTATCTATCGTCAACTTCCCTTATTTATGCAGTAATATGCCTCCATCATCTGCCAACGGAGCTAATATATCTCAGTTGATTCGACGCCGAGAGCATTCTCTACGTATGAAAAATTTCTAAAACGAGGTAAATTATTGACAAACAAGTTGATGAAACAGAAATATCAGTTGTCTCGTTTAAAGTCATCATTTCGTAGGTTCTATGGTCAATAAAATGATCTTGTCATCAAATACAATTTATCATTGAGGCAAATGCTGACTGATGTATTTCATTCTGCATGTAATTGTTAGTCCATTTTCATACACTGAATTTACGACAGAATTTTCCGTTATGTCATGATCATGTCAATGGGCACACAGGGGGTAAGACCGGTCGGCAAGGGATGCCCATTCCTCTATGGCACCTGATCCCACCTTTGATGTTTTAAAGGTAATGACTGATGTTTCGGAGGTCTGTATTTCTCTGCTCTTATTTTGTTTTGTTTTATGGACTTTGATATTGAATGCTGTTCGTTATCTCCAAATTCTTTATTTACAAGTTTTAAAATAAATCTTTTTAGAAAATAATTGAATTTGGCTGTTATATGCCTAACTTAGACAACCTCATATAGTAATCTTTAATGTTTTTAAAGAAAACTTTGAATTCCTAATTACCATGTTTACAACACTTGTTTTCATACTTAAGGAAATGTCTTAAACTTTCCAATTTCGATTGGATTATAATCCTGCGCTCTTCATAAATACATTGTAAATAGTGCAATAAAAAATTATGCTTATTTTTCTGCTTAAAAATTATTTCAAATATAATTAGTTGAGGACAAGAATGAGAGAGAGAAAGAGAGACAGCAAAAGACTCACGGTTTAATGATGTCCAATACGTCTTGTTTATTGTATGGTCTTTTAGGATTGTGCTGTTCTTCCTGTAGCGTTTCGATAATTGCTCGTATTTTCTCTAAACATTCTTCTACGTGTTCTGCTGACGGCAATTCAGATAAAAGTCCTGCAGCATCACGGAGATACTGAATCAAACTGGATTGAAATGTTTTTGCTATGGTTTGTCTTATTTCTTTGCTCTCTCTTTTAACTGAAAAAACTCTTCTAAATCTTAATTTTTGTATCTTCTGTAAAGCAGCTGAAATGTCTTCTGCAGAACTGGGTTTGATATCTTTTGGCAAAATGAGAAGTAAATCGGCTTCCTTGCATTGGAATTCCTCTGAAGTCTTTTTGAAAATAAATAAAAAATAGCACGTTTCAATTTATAAGGTAAATATAATCATCTACTCTGATTCAGGAAAGGTAAATGCACTACTTCCATCTCATACATTAGATAAAACCTAACTTTATTCACGGGTATGCTTGATCAAAAGCACTTCTTGTTTTGACAAAGCCTCTCACTTAAGGATGTGAACTTCTCGAAACAATCTGTCTGTGAACCTTCTTGCCTTATCAACTGGTTGCTTATGAGCAAAATGATTGTTTAACTTTTTACAACTTACTGAACTGTTATGCAACTTACGATTAATGTTAACGTCATAGAAATATGACGTTACCATTTCCCCGAAAGCACTTAAAGCGCGGTACAAATTTCTCTAAATTTTAGCTTAAATACTATTATGACGAAACATGTTTTAAGAAAAGAACTTTTTCTTTGTTGAGAACTTAGCAAGTATAAAATAATCTTATAATATTAGATAGGTAACTTGCATGTCAGCATCATCCTCAGTGATGGATTGTAATGCAAAGTCTCAAGCATTACTTTTGATTCTAATGCAGTTGAGGAAATGAGCTGTTACAATTCAAGTAACGTTCTTTGTTATACACACATGTATATCTGACGTATTCATTTGTTTGCACGAGGGTGACATTTCATACCCTCCCTCCAAAATATTTGAAATTAAAAATGCTCTTTGCATCCTTATTACTGCAGATTTTTAGTATTGGGAGAAGATGTATGATTTTTCTCTAGTGTTTCGAATATATTCAAATAAGTCCGATTAACATTTAATTACTGCCGATTTTTACCAAATACTTATCAAGGGTTGGCGAGTGCATTTCATGAATTTCACTGACGATAGGGTAAAATTAACTTGCATGTTGACATAAATGTGTTGCATGTCTCCATAATTATGTTGCATGTTAGCAAAATTTATCTTACATGTAGGGGATAGAAATATGCCACCATACGTTTGCCGTTATGAAATGTCTTATCATTTATTTACTACTTCAATAATGGATATAGAAAAAGTCTAGTCACTTTTAACAATGCTTTCTTACATTATGCTGTATAACTTTCGATGATCTATAAGAAGCTCAACACTGGGTGGATCCAATTTGCAATTGGATTGTGGCTGTTTTATTTTCTTTTACCCACCTTTTTTGATAGCAGGCAGCAATGTAGCACATTTATTTTCATGTATATTTATAATTTTTGTATGTTTCGTAGGGGGTCAACTAAGATACATGTATACTACATGTATACATGCCAATGTTTTTTCCATGTTTTGTTTTCTTAATTAGTCTACTGGTTGTTCCCCCTTTTTTCTATGTATAACATTTACAATGACATTATGGTGCTGGGGGTCAGATTGAGCAATATTGTGATAAAGATATGTTATATTTTATATTTAAGTCCCCCTTTCTGACCCCCTGTCTTGTATTGTAAATATGTTTTTACTAATTTTACGTCATTTACTTCAATAAATGACATTTTTTCACTTCAATAATGTTGTTTGTTTTTGCCTGCTTTAACCAAAAAACAAGCCCAGTTGTCTGGCAGGAGAACTAAGGAACATAAAATGTATTATGTTAATGATTAAAATATTAAAGAATTCTTTTTTGGACTCTGTAGAGCTAAAAGTAATGATTAATGAAATAAATGTAAATCAATCTTGAATCTATGCATCTGGTGATTTAAAAAAAATAATATATTCTATTATTGATTTCTATATTGAAATTGAATACAATAATTAAAATGATTAAGTAAAAAAGACGTTCTGCAAATAAACGAAAAGAAAGCATCTTGTGCTGTTTCCAAAAAAAATGTTGATTTTGAAATTTAAATTCAAATTGTTAGAAGTATCTCCTCAGTTGCTTTTTTCTGTACAGAAGGTAAATTTATATTTATTCAGAGGAGCAACGATGTGACAAAAAATTTAAATTACAATGTATGTGCAAATTTAAAACAGAAAATTGATCCATCCTGTTACGCAGCACTGTTAAGGCTTACTATGAGAAATCAATGGAAAATAAAAGTGCAAAAAACGGGAAATTTTTAAAATTGAATTTATTTTTATTCAGCAATTCTATCATCACAGAGCTTAAATACTTATGGAAATAGCATGGTATAACATACTCTGTACTGTGTAGAGATTGGTCCCAGTCACGTGATGAACGCATAGCAGGTACACGGAATGTAGGTCATTAACAAATTTCAATATCGCAAGGGCATACCCTAATTGAAATTAAAAATTCAAGCTATTAATTATTTCTGTGTACTTTGTAGTTTCTGAAAAGTGCTGCTGCTTTGACTAGAATTCGCGTTTTAATACTTAAATGTTTAAGTAAATAGACGAATGTCGAAATATGTTAGAATTTTACCAAATATTTTGTGCACTTATAAAATCATGGCCTCGATTTAAAGAAAGCAGCAGCACTTTTCAAGTTAAGGAATATATCCTTTATCTATATTTAAAATATGGTTCAGATCTATGCAGTGTATGCCCTTGCGAAAGTACGATTTTATGGGGCATCTCGATGTAAAATATACGTAACCTGTACATTAAAACACGACATAATTAATAAAATACATTCTCTTGGTATTTAATTAATAATCGCACTAAACAAAGGCTATACATTGGTATTAATCGACTATTTAATATCTGATAAATAATATTCCGTTTAATAATAAAACACATTTTTCGTTGATAAACAATATCTCAATTTGCCTCTCACAGCACATGAAGTACGTCATTTTTACCAGTATGACGTCATGTTTACAAGTTCATTGCGACGAGTGCTTTGTCTACAAAAAGCTACATGGGATTTAACTGGCAACTTTTTTTAATGCATTGATAAGTTATAATGTTGTTTATTATGCTATTACTGTTCAGCGTTGCAGATTATTTCATTTACACGTAAAATGAGAACTACATAAATGTCATATTTTTGTGTGACGTCATAGCATACTTTTCCCGTATGAATTAGGCCCCGCCCCATTATTCAAGCCTTAACAGTGCTGCGTAGTGATATACTGTTTGGATCTTTAGAAAATCTACTGTTTGTGTACTATGGAGTCAAAGTTTAGAACATGTTGACCTCTGCAGTATCTGTAACTAGGCTTGGGGTAATGCTAATTGTAATAGTAATGCATTGCAGTGCATTACATAAAATCAAAGTAATGGTAGTAATGTGTAATGCCGAAAAAAATTGCATTAAATGTAATGCATTTCTTCATTAAATCCAGTAATGCTAGCATTACGTAGCATTACAAAGCATTATTTTGTATGTGCCTATTTATAGAATTTCGAATGGACATGGATGGTCGAAATTATTTTTTAGGTAATTTATTTTCTTATTCATCTATTTTTATTAATTTATTTCTGTAAATGATAAAATTGAAAAATAAATTATTCAAATAAAATTTCTTTATCTAATGAAATACACTTTTTATTCTGTTGAAAATACTCTTACCTTACATTTTCAAACTGATTTCTGATAAGACTGTAACTCAGAGAAAGGCAAGAGGCACACACTTTCGTGTTATATATAATGATTTATCTGTATCTCTTTTACAAAATATATTTATATATAAACACCTAATCAAAAATAATTACTTATAGAATATAATTTACAAATTAGGGAAATGATGACTTATAGAATATAATTTCTATAATAAGGAAATGATTTTCCATAATCTAGTACCAACATAAAGCTAAACCTAACTTTGTGTTCCTGTTGCTCCATGGAGAATTTCACACAAAAATCCTTCCTAAAAGCACAAATTCGACTTTATTATAATTTTTGAAACCCTGTCTTCGACCTCAATGTATTTTAAAACAAGGACCAATACTTCTCGCATTTTATACACAGTTTCTTCAGGGAAAATGAATTTATACACAGTTTCTTCAGGGAAAATGAATTTTTCCCAGCAAGAAGCACGTGGAAAATCTTGGATCCCTTGATTAGAGTTTCTTTGCTCAGAATTGGTGTGAATCAGATCGCAAATGTTGTCACACTTTTCAACTTCCCTTACTTATGCAGCAATATACCTTCATCACCTGCGTACGGAGTCTAAATATCTCAGTTGATTCGATACGCAAGAGCATGGTCTACGTATGAACAATTTCTAAAACGAGGTAAATTATTGACAAGCAAGATGATGAAACAAGAATATCAACAGTCTCGTTTAAAGTCATCATTTCGAAGGGTGTGACCGTTCAGCAGGGGTGCTCACTCCTCCATGGCACCTGATCCTACCTCTGATGTTTCGGAGGTCTGTGTTTGCTCTGCTTTTACTTTTTATTGTTTAATGGACTTTGAGGTTGAATGCTGTTCATTATTTCCATATCCTATTCCAAAACTATCATCAGTATGGGGATCTGTTTTAAATGTAGATCTATGCATGTTTGATACATGGTTGCTAATTTATAGCAATGCACATGTACAAAAAATACCAACGTACCGATTCCTAAATAGCTTCTTTTAGAAAAAAAATTGCATAAAGAATACTTTTAAAAATAAATAATATTTGTTATTTTGATCGATGTTTTTATTATTTTATGTCTCAGAAATGCATCCCTCAATTTGCTTATTTGCACACTTTTGCTGCAAGATATTGCAAATGTCGACTAAAATCCAACCTCCCTAAGATATTTCTCCTAACAATGTTATAAGCTAAGTAAGCAAGAAGCATTTAATAAGACATTGGATTTTTATGTTATTTTATACGAGTTTCACTTGGATGAACGCAAAACAAAGCCCTTAATTCTAATTAGAAAATTAGAGCAAAAACTGATAAACATGTATCTTTCAACTATATTAACTTAACATAATTACCGCAGTTAAGTATGACAGAAGGCTTTCTGTCTTCTTCATGTCATCTTGCGTCATGAAGTAGAGAAAAATCATATAAACACCAACAACCATTTCTGTTTAAGTAAAATAAAAAATCAATAAAATCATAGTTAATATATACAGTGTATAACTTAGTTTGGAATATCAAAAAATGTTGACCATTATTGTCGTACACCAAACTTCTGTGTTTACACAAAATAATGAAATGGGACAATGATTTTTCAAGTTTGCAATGGATTCTAGTATAATGTATTTAAAGAATAAGCAAAGAATAAGCAAAGACAAATTAGAAGTACATATAGTTATTTTAAGGTGTTTCCACAGATATTATATCGCTCTCTTGCTAAGGCAATAATTTCGGTGTAGATATTTAATTTATACCACTGTACATTCGAATTTTATTTCTCATACTCTAGAATTTATTAACAACAAGATGTGTTTATGAAACACTATGCGCACTGTGACCACATAGTTTGCAAAAAGCTATTTTTAGCCTAAAGAATACAGTAAAGGTCACAATCATTCACCTTGGTGCTATTTGAAACAACTTAATTAATTGAATTGGCATACCAAATCTTTTATGGTTAAAAAGTTATGGTGAGGGTACAAAAATATATTCTTAGAAAAAATGTCACAGTCTCGGTCACAAGGTCATTTAAGCGAACTTGATTAGTGGAGTATGCATACCAAATTTGGTATCTCTATCTCTCATGGTTCAAAAGTTAAGTGAAAGATCGAAAGAACATATTTAAACATATCTGAATATTTAAGTTTATCTGTCTGTGATAAGCGTTAACAATAGATTTTGTTGATAAACATAGATTCACGTTTGTAAACTATAGTTTACAATCGTAAACTATAGTTGAGAGTTGTTAATCATAGTTTCACAAATCGTTAAACTATATTTATCAGGTCGTTAAAGCCATATATGGCGTATGTGAAATGAAAATTCTTAGATTAAAATTATAGAAACTTATTATTTGTATCATTACTTTATATAAAGATAGAACTTTTCCGTAAATTACAAAATCTAAGTCAATTGCGTTATAAAGCTATCACAATTCAAATTTGATTCTCAGAATTTTCTCCGTATCGGAAGAAAATACAAAAGATTTAAATAACACATTACAGAGAAGATAAAATTGTATTTTTAGATGAGACGTGGTGTTATCCGTGTCCAGAATTATACGAAAAGCTTTAATTTGAATGTATTAACTATATTTCTTTACTTAATTTTGTATTTTTCAAAAATATATATTTTGATCAGTTACGCCATATATGGCTTTAACTATAATTAACGGTTTGTAAACTATAGTTTACAAATCGTAAAACTGTATTTATCAGATTATCTATGTTTTGCAATTGCAAATGATTGTTTTCAGTGTTAAGTAAAGTTTACGGATGTGAAACATATATTATCGCATTAACTATGATTTACGGATGTAAAATATAGATTAACGTCGTTAACTATAGTTTACAGTCCGTAAACTATAGTTTACAACCGATAAACCTAGTTTATCGACTGTGAAACTATGTTTAGCTCATTTTTGTAAATTTGGCGTGCCATACACTGTACATATGTCACAATCATGGTTACATGGGCATTGAACTTGGTTTTGTGCAATATAACTTAATTAGTGGAGTAAGCGTATCAAATATAAAGTCACTGTCTCTCGCAGCTCAAGAGACTGTTAAAGTTTGCAGACAAAAAAAGCTATTTTTAGCATTTAGGGTAACAGTCAAGGACACAAGGTCATAGACCTAAGTGTTGTTTGAAAGAACATATTTCGTGGAGTAGACATACCAAATACAAAATTTCTATCTTTCAGGGTTCACAAATTATGGTGAATGTTAAAGTTTGTGGACAAACAGACACACAGACAGACAGGCAAACAGACGGACAGGCAGCACAAAAACAATAAACACTGATCTATAGATCCAGATGCATAATAAAACATTAAAGTACATGTAGTATTTTTAACACAAAGACCTCATATTGTGCATCTTTGAAATAAATATTTCAGGATACGATACACGTAATTTTCCTTTGATATGAATAAGTACATGTATTTTAAAGTGTGGTATACATTGTGATATTTAGGAAATATAAATGAGAAAGCCTTTTTAAAGCAATATGAGCTGCATTTTTGAGAATTTAATTTTGCTGGTAAAATGTGTTATAAGAATTAATCTGTATGAAATCTAAACCCTAATGATCATTAAAACCAAAATAAAGTTTAAAAATGTTTCAGAAGAAATATTCCTGTACAACCGAATATACAGTATTATATAAGAAATCATTATTGTACAGGTCGACAATAATTCAAGTTTGCTTCAATCAACGCGAATAAAAAGTTCTTTCATAGCAAATATGAAGTACAGAAGTTTATAAATGTTCTATTTTTCTGTCATTGAACTAGTTAATTACAAATTTGCAACATTTTTTTCCGATGTCAAACATGCAGCTCATATTGCTTTAAATACAGCATTACCAGTCACAAAAGCCAAATGGGAGAGGGCTTGCTATAATGGGATATAGTGGTTTGATTCTCATTCACGCAAACGCAATTTCTTATATGAGTGAAAAATTATTGCAAAGAAATAAAATCAGATAATCAAACAACGAATTAAAAAAGTAAACTTTATATAAATTTACCCGTTGTAAAATCCGAGAAGCAATTTCCTTCAGCAATGTCTGAACTTAAAAGAGACTCATTCTCCTTGCTCAAATCACCTCCAACTAAAACAATGCATTCCGTCATTGGATCAACTGCAAAACCGTCTATCAAGTCCGCACCTTCTAGACTCAAGTCTACAAGGAATTTGTGGTATGCATACCGAGGCAAACATACACGTTTATCTAAAACTTAAAAAAGAAAAGACATATTTAGTATGATCTGAATAAAAAAAAACCAAACATATTTCCCAAAAGAAAATAATAAGAAATAAAATTACCTCCATTAATCTTAAAAGGAAATATTTCAGTAAAAAGGTAAATTAGTCTCTTCAACAGTAAAATAACATCATAAACCTGCATACAGTTATGTTTATTGTAACTTTCTCTACGAAAATCATTCCACATCATTTAACACCCTATATACATGTATAAGATGAAATATATAAAGATAAGGAATAATAGTAGTATTCGAGCTCAAAAGTCTATGAAACAATACAAAATTGGAGCAGAGCAAACATCGACCTCTAAAACATCATTCCTATAATACACCTGGCTATGCTTACAAATTGTATAATTTGTCGGCATGGCCAGGTGTGTTATAGGACCGACGACATCCAGAAGCTTTAATTCAATGCTCATATGTACATTATCTAATTTCCATCCTCATACATTTTTATTTTGTTAATCTTTAATGAATTTTGAGGGCTTCAAAACTCTTGTGCTTAAGAGACATAAGAGCCGTTTGTTACGTTGCTAAGTTAAATACAACGCAAACGAATAATGGGAGGAATAAAAAATGACAAATTGATTTTAAATGCACATTTGTTTTATTTTTACGTCAATTTAAAAGGTTTATATATTTACCGAAGGTTCAAGTGAGCTTTTAGATCACATTTTGTTCGTCGTTTATCCGTCTGTCCGTTTGTAAACTTCTTACATTTTCGACTTCCTCTCAAAATCTACTGGGTCAGTTTTAAACAAAATTGATTTAAAACATCCTTTGAGAGGGGGGGGGGGTTAAATGGAAAAAAAATGATCCAAGTACCCTCTCAAAGGGGGATAATCAAGAAATGAGAAGAATAGTGTGGTCACTAAAAGTTTTCTTCTCAAGAACCACTGGGCGAGAAAAGCTGAAACTTATATGGGGTCATCCTGTTGTAGGGTAGATTCTAAATAGAAGAAATAAGAGCTACTGTGGGTAGGACAGGACCGCAGTGGGGAATCCAAGTTTTACCTTGAAATAAATAGGAAAAAAACCCTTTAACAGTCTTTTTTAAGATCCACTGGCTAAAACATTTGAAACTTATATGGAAGCATTCTTCGGTAATGTAGATTCCAAATCTTCAAATCATGATTTACTCATGACTCACTCATGACTCATGTGGATAGGGTGGGGCAGCTATAGGTAATGCAAGGATCTACAATTTATTAAAAGGCAAAGAACAGCATGGTCAAAGCTATTCAGATGAGCGACGTGGCACATGGGCCTCTTGTTCATTTAATTGAGTTAAAACTTTGTGCACTAATTTTTGTATTCCTAGAGTATTGAAAATGCACATAGTTCCTACTGTTCATTCTAACGGGCGATGTCAAGGTTTCCCGTGTTTATGAAGATTTGAATGTTGTTGACTTCTATTGGATTTTACCGGTCACGGTACCCTAGTGGTAGAGCGTTCACTTCGTGATCGGGAGGCCCGGGTTCGATTCTCGATCGCGGCGCCGCGTCATACCTAAGACGTAAACAAAGGTAGTGACTGTTCCTTCGCCAAGCGCTCGGCATTAGAAGTGAAAGTCACGGGTCTTGCGGATATGACCTTAAAAACGTAGGCCCCGTGTCACGGTATGCGCTGGCACGATAAAGAACCCTGCTCAATGGCCCTGAGTGCCGATTATAGGTCTTAATTTGAAGCCCTTCACCGGCATACGGTGACGTCTCCATATGAGTGAAAAATTCTCAAGAGGTTCGTTAAACAATACACAATTAATCTATTGGATTTTATAAAGGATATTCCTCTGAATGTAAAAATTACTTTATAAGTAAGGGATGTTAATGACTGAAAAGTTAATGTCATCATGTTTATCATAAAGCTCTGTTGGTAGATTACCATTAACGTTTTTTTTAAGTAAAATAACCAAGTATGAAACAAATGTGTCAGACTCTGAGGTATCCTTTATCTCATTTTAGCTTACCAGGATACCGTTATATCGTTTAGACATTGTTAATTGACAATACATCGTCGATATAGTTGCATGTATATTCCAGCTTGTCTGTAAATATATGTAATCTGTTTTCAAAGCTTTAACCCTAATAATAATACTTGAAGTCAATATTGATGAAGATATATGTATTCTGTTGATCTAAAATATTTGTTTGTTTAGTTGTAAATTTCCTGTTGCGTAATCTGGAATCTTTGATCTGGAAGTTTAAAGCATTCCGTGTTTCACTCTGAAAAACATGTATTTTGCCTAAAAAGTGCTGCAAGAATCCCACTGTCCGGTCAGTCAAATAAGTATTCCACACATTCGCACAAAATCTTACCCTATGTTTTGAATATATACTTATGAAACCATGTTTATCTCTGGATTCTAGCAGCACTTTCCAAGAACTTTCCGTCTGTACAAATCTGATAATTTTAAATACCCAGCTTATTATTGTTCTGTTGCATTATTTTTGTCACGAATCACCGAGGACAGTTCGACCGGTAAACGTATATTTTTGACTGTCTTCGAAAGAAAATATAATCACTGAAAAAAAAAATTGCATACTTTCTTAATTAACTTAATTCCACATGAATTTCACAAAATATTCACGAAATTTTCATTAAAACTCCATTTACGTATTTTTGTGCGTATACATGCCGTCTTAGCCAAATTCTTTTTACACGACATGATCAAATTCCAAGTTAATTGATGTACACTTACACTGTATGACGTCATTGATGGTAGATTTTAATCAAAATGACAGATACAGCATGACAAAATAAAAGTATTCTATTTTAGTTAATATTTACACGTTTCTGTTCAAATTCTAGTGTTAAATTACGTATCTAAATACTTATATTAAGAAAACTTGTCTTCTAAATATGACGTCGTCTCGCCTACGACTTGTAATGTATCACTAAATATGTCAAGATAGAATATTCTGTTTGCTTCCTTATTACCCCTACACACTAACCTTTTCGGACGACACATAAAGTGTACGTAGGGGGTCAGCCCTGTTGTCTGTCTACCCAATAGTTGATGTTGATATACATTTATTTAAACACTGTGGCCAATTTTTGCCATACTGTAAACATTGAATGTGTTTAAATAATGTTACAAATACAAGCTTTGTGTATTATGGTGGGGGGGGGGGTCTAGGTAGGATACGACATCACTGTCTTTCTAATGAATGTCTAAATGTGAGTTGAAGACCACAGCAAGTGTTTCATCTTTTCACGTAATAGAATTTGAACAAATTCTCCTTCATATGAATTCAAATAACTTGTTTGAAGACCTGGTACCCCAAAACCAAATAAACTTTGACATTTAGAAACTCAAGCATCTTATCCCTGACACTGTTCGACAGAAAACAAAGTAGGAACTGCATGCAATACTCCAGTGATTCCTTGTTATGTTTATTGTTTTGGATCAATTTAACCAAACAAATTACCTTTTTAAATTCATTATTTGGTAAAATATAACCATTGAATGTACGTTTGTGAAAAATATTTCCCCATCTCAATATTCATATTCATTTTAAAACTTCTCACGTCACATCCGCTCTTACATATGTACACCTGATCTGAAAGGTGCTAATTTATTTTCAATATTTAAGAAATTTAAAATTAAGAAGAATGCTTCTATAAACGTTTGTTTCTTATTTTTAACAAAAAAATTATAACCTGCTCGAGCCTACAAATTATTATACCGCGCTAAGGCATTGTACAATTCAATGCTTTCATGTTTATTTGTCAAATTACTCAATCAAAGAAAACAAATGAAAATTTGAAAGAATATAAAAGAGCCTGAAAATGACTAAAGCCTGTATCAAAAGAATTAAGTAACCACTTAATAGTGAGAAAACATCCTACAGAGGAGATATAGCGCTATTAATATTCTTTAAGTTAAATGTCAGGTTAATACAATATCAACTAAAGGTCACTTAAGACCCAGAACATTTGTTCTTGATTTATAATTTAGGTGCAAAAAAGTAGTGCATTTTCGCTTAATATTTAATTCATTATTTAAAAGTCTACCTTAGCACTGATAACCTTTAAATTAAATTATATAGTATATTATGTAATTTCTGAATTACATCCTTCTGTGATTTCAAAACTATTAGGACAAGCGCAGTTTTAATATTGTAATAATTTTTCCACAATAGTATACACATCTAAATGTCTTGCTGCATTCTGTCTATAAAGTAGCAGTTTTTAGTGAAATTTGTTTGCCTGTTTTCTAAATCCCTTTTATTTCATTATAAAAAACGATATACACCAATAATTACATTTAATATTATTTCCCTTTACAGCTGCCATGCAATGTGATTGAGATTATGACAAATTTTCGCAACTAATTCGGGATAGTCCGAGCCGTTTGAAGTATGTCACTTGTCAAAAAGATATGTCAGAACCTCTCATTTTCAATTCTGTTAAGAAACATATTTGAAATACACAATGCAAAGAAAACAGAATTCAATTAAAAATGGTCACTCAATCAGAAAGAATCTAGGTTTATGGAGGGAGGGGGGCATAAATATTTGTTTGAAAGATATTTAGAAGAAATTCACATTTGTAAAATTTGATGGCCTGAACAACCTCTTCATATTTTGCTTACAAGCAATTTTTATATTTCCATTGCAGAGTGTTTTGAGTAGAAGATTTCATCATCATTATCATTTTCATTTTAATTGTTCATAAAAATGAACTAATACTTTCTTTCAACTTATTCTGTTTTTTTTTTCGTTAGAGCTGCAACATATGTATTTAACAGACTATGTAACTTATATTCTGTTTTAAACGTCAATGTTATTACCCTGTTACCTTTAAACTCTTTGGCTGTAGCTGAGCGTTTTCTGAGATCACCGAATTGCACGTCATCCTTCAAAAAAATAATTATTTATGTATATCAATTACTGGATGCCGTATTAGAAGTGTAAAATCTCTGGTCTTCAGATATGACCTTAAAAACGAAGGTCCAGTGTCACGGTTGAAGTTGGCACGATATAGATGCCTCTGTTTTAAATGACCCTGAGTGCCAAGTAAAGGTCTAAAGTAGAAGGCGCCTTTCCGGTAACGTCTCTGCATCAGTAAAAAAATCCTCCAATGGGACGTTAAACAGTATGCAATCAATCATTTACGGAATGGAACAAATCTGTCGTTAACATCCGTATTAATTATACATTTCATTTTATTTTTCCAACGTAGAGTGTTTTGAGAGAAAATATTCATTATTATCATAATTTCTTTTATTTTCAGTATATGTATCAATGAGCTTATACTTTCTATTAACTTATTGAGTTGCCATATACATTTTGTTCCTGTTAAAATTGCTTCACTTCATACGCAATCTTTTACAATTTCTGGTCCTAACAATCAAAGTTCGTGTATTGTACAGAATATGATGTAATTCGCATTCTGTTTTATACGTCAATGCCACTACCTCACAACCCTTAAGCTGTAGCTGGGTGGTTTCTGTGATCACCGTACTGCATGCCATCCTTCAATAAGAAAAAAAATAATATTATAAGGTTTCACTGACTAATTAAAATGCTCTCAATGAAAATTTTGCTGTCAACGTTGTTCTAAACATGTTGCTTGCAAAAGTCATTTTCCCTATTCGCTCAATTTTTTTTTTGTCAACTTTTTAAGAAAGTTAAACAGAACAGATTATTAGATTAAGCAACGATGCGTTCAAAGATTTTCAAAACAATAGACTTATAAGAGGAAAGAAAATCACTTTCAGAATCAAAGTATGTATTATTCCTTCTGTCTATACAAGGGCTATTCCAAACGTAATGTCTAAACTGCTATAAAGTCTTCCATTACAATTAATCGTCAACGAAATTGTGAATACCATTCCACTTGTTAGAATATTGCTTTTTAAATTTAATATGATTGTAAGATACACTGTAAACGGCATTATTACATAAGAGTTCACGGCATGTGTTATCAGTCAACAGGAGATGTTTACAAGTATATTTTTCTTTTTTTGACACTTGAGTCCACAACTAGTTTTCCATTGGTCCATGTTTTGCCATAGTTACGACTTGTTTTGTATATTTGATTTGTTAAATAAACTTCATTTAAGCACATTCAAATCTTTATATTTGCTTCATTATCTTTGTTTCAAAGAGAGCAATCACAGCTGGATGAGTATTCAATTTTTTTCTTAAATATGTCATTCAAAAATACACAATTCAGATATTCATCTAATTTTGTGCTTTCATCAATTTTATTTTGTTATTACTTTGATTTAACACGATGACAGCAAAACTCATATGAAAAAAAAAAATTAAAAAGTTATGATACAAACTGAAAGTAACATTTATCCTCCAGAGAAAAATGTGCCGAACTACCTTATGTGATAAATCAAAATAATTAGAGTGTATTGAAATATTATTGAAATATTGTGAGCTTTTTGATCACATTTTATCCTTCTTTCGCCTTTCTGTCCGTAAACTTTTCACATTTTCGACTTCTTTTAAGAACCAATGAGTCAATTTTGACCAAACTTGATACAAAGCATTCCTGGGCTAAGTTTTGCATAGAAACACCACTGACCCTGAAATATTACATGCAACACTTAATGACTTCAAGACGCACTTATCAAAGCGAGGCTTCTCTACTTCGGAAATTGATTCTATTATCAAGGAAACGGTCAACACAAACCGATCAAAACTCATTATCAAAAAGACTAAAGAACTGTCATTACGTAACCCTACAGTACTGGTTACTAAATTTAACCCTTGCGTTAAAGGACTGAAAAAACGAATTCTAGAATATTGGAACACCATTCTTAGAAATCCAGAATGCAAAACTTTATTTAATTCTCAACCAATCATTGCTTACAGCAAACACAAGAATATAGGTGACGAGATAATCCGGTCTCACCTAAAACAAACACCATGATTTATGTCCGTGACCCCTGATGAGGCTTCTTAATAGCCGAAACACTCTACAACTACTTGCATAATTCAAATAAGATATTAATCTGCTCTATGCAAAAAACATATCTACTTAAAGTGTGGTTTGGAGTGTCGGGTCCTAATAAATCTCTTACAAGTTTGGTTGATTGATGTCGCTAATTTTCACACTTTGACTAGGGACAATGTCCCACCGGCATCATCCCGTGCATCGCCCTCCCTTGGACAGCGATCGACTTGTGTGGTTTATATGGTCATCCAACAATCCGGCCACACTTTTTGCTTCTATTTTCTTCTAAGACATTTTATTACCAGCACTTCCTTTACCAAAATCAGCACATGTTTGTAAAGGATTGAACTGCTACTTCAAAGGTCGTCTTTTACGCTTCTCTTATAATCAAATAATTCGGCTTGCTCAAGTATACAAATACAATAGTGCCCTTCATTCAATCACTTTGTACCAATGCAAGAAAACCACGAGAATATCAGATTGTAAATACTAGGATATATTGAAGGACCAGATCAGCTTAAACAAGGAAGAATTCATTCAAGATTTGGACAGTCATGTGAAATATTAATCCTCTTATTGTCATCATATGATATTAAGACGGATCTTTATTTTACCCTCATTTTATGACACTATGTATATCAGACGGCTTAAGATCCACAGGATTTAATTACTATAAAATTGGTGTGTATTAGCCACCCATTGGACCAGCTCTTAAACATACACCGCCCCTTGCACGTGACCGTAACGAATCATCGGAATCTGACTATCGGTTTCTTATAGCCACATACTCTTCTTATCCTCTAATCTATCAACACTTATTGATAATTAGACGGATTCATTATCTCATCGAAATACTCATTGTTGATCTATAGCGCCTCGCTATATACAATATATTTACCACCTACTGCTCCTCTATTTGAATGGCTCGACGAATAAATAGACGGAGTAAACAATGCAAAAATGCTAAACGCACTCGTAATTATTTACGGGGAGTTAAAGCTCACTGCAAGGAAACTACGACCACAGGGGGAAAGTTTGTTATAAATCTATCAAGATACAACTTATCCGAACATGAACTCTCAGTTCTGAGCAAAGGCTTAAAATTTATTCCAACGCCTAAAAGCGACAATGCTAAAAGCCTGCTGCTCAGAGATTTTGAAGAATTTGCCAGGAAACTCAGATGCAAATTCCACTTTCATACCGGAGACGACAATGTCATTCACCCCTTTAACACAAAATCTGGCTACAAACCGCCATTTACATGCAGCGAACTATATAGGAATATATAGATAAAACAAAATCGGGACTTTCCTCTTTGGAAATTGCAAAAAAGAGATCAAACATCTCAATTGCTGAAAGAGAAGCTATTTTATTTCTTAAAAATAACAACGACATTGTTATTAAAAAAGCAGATAAAAGCAAGACAATTGTCATCATGAACAAAGACCAGTATGTCTTAGAAGCACAAAGCCAAATGCAATCTAAACACTATATGCAAGTATCTGAACCCAACATGCTGAAACTGCATGAAAACATTCAAAATAAACTTGCCACAATGCATTTAAATGGTTCACTGGACAAAGAAACTTACAAATTTCTTAATGACAAAAAACCTTCACTCAAATGTGGGCATTTGTACCTTTTACCGAAAACCCACAAAATACCAGCAAACATTTACAATGCTCTAATAAATGGTCAGTGCAGCATTAGGAAATTACCACCTGGTAGACCAATTATCTCGCAATGCGATACGCCAACGAGGAAAATAGGACAATATTGCGATTACTTTCTTGTACCCATTGTACAAAAACAATCAACTTATATCAAAGACACTACGGACTTTATCACCAAAATTGAAGGCCTCACATTGCCAACAAACGCATTATTAATTACTTATGATGTGACGAGCATGTACACAAACATGGAATTCAACGAACTTCTCTCATCAGTAAATGAGGCTTACACACAGGCCAATAAAACGCAATTAGACATTCCATTTCCGGACCCTGAGGATCTAAACTTCTTACTGAAATGCGTCTTGGAAAACGATTTCTTTGAATTCGACGGAAAATATTACAAACAAATAAAAGGAGCAAGTATGGGGGCAGTCCCCAGTCCAGAGATCTGTGACATCAGAATGTATCAAATCACAAAGCATATAATGGCACAATTTCGTCATGCCAGCAAAATTGTCTTCCACGGCAGATACCGTGATGACGGCTTCATAATATTCAATGGAACGCAACCAGAGATAGAAGAATTCTTTAATATCGGCAATCACTGTCACAAGCATCTTAGATTTACATTTGAAATTTCTCCATCTGCTGCAAAATTTTAACAAACTTGATATCAAGTCGTTTATCAAACCAACAAATAACTTTCAGTATCTACACAGAGAGAGCGCTCATAGCCCAGCTGTGTTTAAGGGATTCATTAAAGGAGAATGCATTAGACATGCAAGAAACACCACTGACCCTGAAATATTACATGCAACACTTAATGACTTCAAGACGCACTTATCAAAGCGAGGCTTCTCTACTTCGGAAATTGATCCTATTATCAAGGAAACGGTCAACACAAACCGATCAAAACTCATCATCAAAAAGACTAAAGAACAGTCATTACATAACCCTAGATTTTTTTGGTTGTTACTCTATTTTACGAGGAATATGACTTCAGACACTATTATGCGTATTGTTTGTGACTTAACGGTGCTAAATTTTGAACTCCTCCGCGATCCCTTATTAGCATTTTTAAAATCTTTTTTTTAAGGTCTTCCGTTGGAGACGGAAGACCTTCTACTGATTCTGAAGATTAAGATTATTAAGGTCTTCCGTCTTCAGCGGAAGACCTTCTTGTTATTCTTAGGTTTCTTTTTCACTTTTATTATTATTATTCTTTTTTTTCTTACCGATTTTGTGCACGCGATTTCTCAAAAACGGCTCGATGGATTTTCATGAAACTTTCAGGACTTATGTAACATAACTTGAACCTTATGCATTTTTTTCCGATTTGATGACGTCACTTCCGGTTTCGAGAAATTGTCGATTTTATGATTTTTGAAGGGTCAGGTTGTCTCCAGACTTTCTCAATAATGGCTCAAGATAGAATCATGAAACTTTGAGGTATGATAGACCAAAGTCTGTAGATATGTATAAAGTATTTCATTTTTTTTTTTTCTTTTTTTTTTTTAATGCTTTATTTCCATGCTTTCAACACAAACATCAAATACATTTATCAAAATTTGCACAGAAATTTTTTCACACCCACCCACTTTCGCACTTCACTCATACTTATATCAACAATACATCAATTTTAGCAAATTTTTACACACTTTATATGGATAAAACAGGAGACAGAAAAAGTATGCTACATTTGATCTAAATATGTTTTTTTTTCAGAGGATTTACATTTCCAACAAAGTTTTCCAATGTGACCATGTAGACTCAAAATTTTCTGCAGTTAGATTTTTAACAGATATGTACTTCTCAACCTTATAATACATTTTTAAATGGGCAATCAGCCCATTTAAATTAGGCTTCTTTACATTTTTTAAGCAGTAAA